AGTTGTATTAAGAGAAAAAATTACTGAAAGTAATTCCAACAAACTATTTTTTTATTTATTATTAAGATTGACAAGTTCTAATGACAAGTTACATGACACGAGTAATAACATCAGAAAGGGTTTTGTGGAGATTTTAGAAATTTCACTGGTTAAAATCATGAGTCAATTGAAGCTAGACCAACATGGAAAACCTGAAAGCACTGGACGGTCATTTCGTCTTAGTATGGGACTCCTCAGCACTGCGCATCCACGACCTCGCCCTCTGCCAGATTTGGACTCAGGACGTACTGGTTTCGCGCACGAGCACTTAGCCACTAGGCCACTGAGCCGTCAACTAAAGGCGCTTTGCTGAGGAGTCCCACAGTGGGACGAAGCGGTCGTCCAGTGATTCCAGGTTTTTCATGGTGGTCTAGCTTCAATTGACTCATGATTTCAATCAGTGAGAACGATAACTGTCAAAGCTACCATGAAACAATTGTCTTCAGGGATGAAAAGTGAGAATTTCATCATCTCTGAAACGAACATGACACTGTTTAGATATTTAAACCAATCATTTCTTATAGGCTAATTTTGCAGTGTAATTGTTATGACAATAAAATTAACTAGTAAAGTACTCACGTTGTATCGAACCACATTTACCGACTGTTTATCAACCAAAGTGATTGAATTTATTTCATTGATTTAAAGGTGTCAGTCAATTCAGTGTGATTTCGATTCTCAGGATATTAAATAACCACTGAACAAATTGGCATACTTTGTTTTGTTAAATGCTTAGTAGCTTGGGAAAATTATTTCATATTTTATCCGATTACAGAAATATCCAGCTGATGATTGTCAGTAAATATTGACAAAATTTAGATTAGAAAATGTGCTAAACTTTAACATTAGATACAGTTTTGTGACGAATCATTTTTTAGTCGGAACTCAGCTTATTCATGAGAAATGACACAGAATATTTATTTCTAACATATAGTACTAGATTAAGCAATTACAAATTCAAATTCTTACATCGAACTTTACACCCGAACAAGAGGCAGTTAACTATTTAGTATCAGTAGCTTAATGGTTTATTTGGATCGATAAGATACAAATTTGAGCTTTAGAGTAAATATTAACATTTGGATGATAGTACATCCATCTGGCTACTCAAACATTAGACTGAGTACGTGTTCAGGATTTAACTGCCAGCCATAATCTGAATACACCAAAAACATGTAATCAAAAGTAACATCCAGATCAATTGTCTCAGGATGCGCATATACCAATAGGGATTGTTCTCTTCCTATCCATATTATAAACAGAGTGAAACATTAAAACCTTTATTGACGATAAGTTATACTTTGATGAAATTTTAGTCAAGAGGAATAATGTATCATACATAGTTATATCTTTCATTCTTTAGCGATCATTTTCCTATCAATTTGACAAATACATTCAATTGAGTCACACATCGCTTTCAAATTTTATGTAAATTCATTTACATAAGATTGGATTTTATCATTCGATTATCTGTTCAGCCACTTTAGCATAGTTAACATATTTATCGAAAACCTTAACATTATTTTCGCAGTCCATATAAGAGTTATAATGTCAATAACCTTTATACTATATAAGAGTTTTGTTGAGATCATATTCTTTCAGCCTTATTCTCGATTAGTCTAACTTTTACAGTCCTGGTAAATGCTGTCTGATTCGCTTGATGGTAATGTCTTCGACTAAGAAAATGTGTAAAGCAGTTTAAAATCACTAGCAAATGTTTTCTGATGATCACGGAACTACCTTAGTGATTAAATCTAATGAGTTTCAATCATTTAGCAGAAGACTCTGATTTTACATTTAAATACAGTACTAAGTTCACACAATATTTCCCATATATGCTTAGTTACATAACTGACAAAGTTATAAGTTATCTCATGAGAATCGAACGATCGTAAGTAATTTCCTAGAATGAGTTTTTCTTGATAAATTTTTGTGAAGTAAGAATAACAAACATTGAACGATAAATTAAATTTGTACCATTTAGTATAGCTTAAATACATGAAATATTCACTGATTTATTCAAACAAATAAAAAATGTACAAATATAATATAATATAAGCGCTTGCGTACGGGACTGATAGGTCCTGGGTTGGAATCTCGTGAGGCGAGGTTGTGGATGCTCACTGCCGAGCAGTCCCACAATAGGACGAAACGGCTGTCCAGTGCTTCCAGGTTTTCCATGTTGGTCTAGCTTCAACTGACTCATGATCTTAACCATTGAAATTACTATAATATCCACAAAACCCATCTGATATTAATCAACATATGCTCAATAGTGACTGGCTTCGCGAGGTATATCCTGGAGTTCTAGTGAGAAGTAGTGACCAGTGTAGTTCAACCAGGTCGGTTGTGAGATAGTACCTCACTGAAGACAATGGTGGATGTGTCGCTCAAGTTTGTGAATTAGTTGGAGTTAGACATTAACAGCGTTGGATGCCGGCTCAGTGATCTAGTGGTTAAGTGCTCGCGCGCGAAACCAGTAGGTCCTGGGTTCGAATTTCGGAGGGGGCGAGGTCGTGGATGTGCACTGCTGTGTCCCATACTGGGACGAAACAGCCGTCCAGTGCTTCCAGGTTTTCCATGTTGGTCTAGCTTCAATTGACTCATGATCTCAACCACTGAAATTACTATAATATCCACAAAACCATTATGAAATATAATTTTGTGCGTAACACGTGAATATTACTATAGATAAAATAGCATTTTATACTGTCACAATGTTTTGCATTTATCAGTAGTAAGAAACATTACATATAAATATTTAAATCAAATGAAACTAAACAAAGTAATTGACGTATTAATCATGCTGAAGTTTCACATGTATGTAACAAGGCAAAATTAATTTGTATATATATATGTCATCTTAAAACTGTAAACGTATTGATTTTGATTAAAATTTACTTTGTTTCATTTCTACTACTAATCTAATCCAGTAATAAGCTAAAATCAAAAATAACATTGACTGAGTTAATTACCTATATAGTAGTCATTCTGAGTAAGATCCTGAAATATAAACTATCTGATGATCTCATGTATTAGTTGTTTGAACCTTTTAATTGATATTCACCACTGCAGTTGATCAGTCTCTTTTTGTAAATGTGTATCTTGTGAGGACTGTCTCTTCTTTTTTGGGTCCTGTCAGCTAGATGTTTTTGCTTTCCAGAGTTGATGTTCACTCTGGAACTCGAACCTAATACCATTTGCTTCGGACACCACCACTTTATCTATTTAGCTACTGAGTCCAGAAAGCCACTGGCTTATGGAATCTGGTGAATCTCAATTTTTATGTATTAGTTGTTTGGATCTTCTTATTTAGATCATCATTATTTGAATAGTATTCATGATTGATGCAAAAAATGACTTTATAATTAATACGATTGGTTTCACTCAGTGTTTTTAATAGTTGATGTGGGTTATTTCTGTGTGTTATTGTACTTGTCTTTACTTTATCTGAGATCGAGATCAAATTTTTTTTATTGACATATGGGTCACTAAATGCTTTTCTGCAATTCTTACCGCTTGATGAAATATTTATTGTGGAGAAATCTTTCCAGTATATAACTCTTAGATGATAATCATCTTATTAGTATGAAAATAAAAATAAGTTACTTCAAGAAAACTTAAAATAATTTTTCAATGGTAAGAAGGTAGAACTTCTGATCGTTTTTGGTTCAGTGGTAAAGCTTTTAATTGCAGTACAGGAGGTTAGTCGCTTCCTGATTAACTCAGTGGAAACTTGTCATATTGTGAAACTGGATGGTATGGGTTTGAACCCACTGAGGAGCACCATTGCTTCCGATGCTATGGGTAATGTTTGGTGGCAATCACTAACTATCCTGAAATCTGGGTCTCGGGTTTCCCGATGGTTGTCTCCAACCACTTAACGAAGAACAACATTATTTCTTAGTCTGATTCAGTGATGAATAATCGGTTTTGTCGAAATAGTGCAGATTCCTTAATGTTTAGTATTCATCAATATAAACCTTAGATTAAACTGATTCTCCATAACACTAAAAAGCCTGTACGTGAATTCAGTACAACGATAAAAGGTAGTTGACGAGCGAAAAATGTATGTTTTTTAAGGATTGTCTTATGTAATTAAAATGGATTTATTTTGAGTTACAACCGAGTAAAAGTTTTTTATGGAGTGAAGTTATGGTTCGCTATAAAAACTGAAAACATTTTGCTTGTTCACACAGCATAAACTGCTCGCTGAAAACAATTAATGGTTAATATAACTAGTTTGAAGTCATTCGTAATCAACAGAGACTAGTTAGAACTCATTCATGACTTGATAGTCTTTAGTGGCCCGTGGATCTGACTCCAATTAGATCGTATGAATGTTTGTTATCGCCTATCCTCGTATATAATTATCGACTTAAATCGCGTTATTCAGTAACGGAATAAAATAAGTCGAATAACGAGAATGGACTTGTGAATACCTATATTTTGTAAATAAGGTCAATGGAAAAGAGAGAAGAGAAACGACGCAGAGTGGAGATGGCTGGTAAGCCAACTCCCATTTTACTCAAGCGTTAATCAATATTTATAGTAAGTTACAGACATGTGGTGAGTAATGGGATAAGAAATGTAAACGCACCTACACGCTCATATAAAAGCAGTCAAGACTGATAAGCGAATAATTAACAAAGTCAGAATGTGATTCAATTAGGATGAATAGAATGGTCTGTCCGAAAGTACATGGGCTTAACATAATAACAAACGCTACAAGTCAATGTTTTAAACCAATGAATCGTACATCCACTATTTTAACTCTGTTTAGATTTATTATTTTCTCATTACTTAATTGTTTGTCTTACATAGTTATAAGCATGTATCCATTATGTAATCCTACATTCATTGGTCATTTTCTGTTTATTGTATGATTGTTAGATATATAAGTCATCTATTATTATAACATTTATTATATATTGGAAAACGCTTACATTTTTAATTATTAGGAAAGAGAAAATCTAGAACGTAACTTATCCGATGCACAGAAAAAATGTCATACAATGGATACAAGTGAACGTGATATGAGAAATCTTATTTTACGCGCTGAAGAAGATAAAAAACGTTTAGCTCAAAGAATAGAAAAATTAACTGCAAACGGTATAGTATTAATTTAAAAAGAAATTCAACTTTTCTTGACATTATTTAAAATAATTTTATTACTTCAAATATACATGTGGAATATGTTGCTTTTATTTAAACATATTACTGTCTTAACCTTGAATTCAATATCCATTTATTGAAGAAATCAGTTTTACTGGTTGAAATCATGAGTCGATTGAAGCGAGACCAACATGGAAAACCTGGAAGCACTGAACTGCCGTTTCGTTCTAGTATGGGACTCCTAAGCAGTGCCTTTACACGATCACACTCTCGGGATTCCAACCCAGAGCCTATAGTCTCGCGCGCGAACGCTTAACCTACTGGACCCTTGGGGTGGCATCCAATGGTGTTAATGTCTAACATCAACCAATCCACGAAATTGTGCGACCATCTTCCATTGTACAGAGATAGATACCTGTACTCTACCTGACACGGACTAGCTCCACTGGTCACGGCTTATCACTAGAACTCCGAGAATTCCCCTCATGAGGAGTCCCACAATAGAACGAAACGGCCGTCCAGTGCTTCCAGGTTTCCAACAGTGGTCTAACCTCAGTCGGTTCATGATATCAATCAAAAACGCAATAATCTCTACAACCCCCATACTGATAGCTATTTTTGATGAATTTTTCGTTTCCGTCTTAAATCTTCTATTTTCCGAATAGAACCAAATGTAATGTTAGAATTTTCGATTATCAGTGTTTTCGTATCATACTATTCAGGTTCTTTAGACTCATTTTTTTCAAAAAATCAGTGCGAGAAACTAATTTCCTACTAACCTTAATTCTTCCTTAATATGATAAATGGTGTGTAGATTTCTAATAGAAATTAAAGGTCGCTGGTGTTCATAATTTTTGTTTTAATCATAATCACTAGACTGACATTTTTTTAAAAATTGGTGAAAATTTATCACACAAATCATTATAAAATATGTCAAGTCTACTACTAGAACACTTAATACTGAGTTCCTAGCCAGTTCCTTCAACGCTAGATTGCTTTTATACCTCAACTCATATAACAGGGAAAAAAGAAGCAAAATATCAGTATCTCTGAACAGAAAACCAGGTGTATTGGTAGGAATTCATGCCTCATTGGTCATCTAGAACATCCTGCAAACATGTCAATTATGGTAATGGGATAAATAATTATTTAATCGAAACGTGACAAAATATGTATCAATTTTCTAGATGTTTCTGAGGTACTTCTACTTAACACAGATTGGATAAAACACTCACTGATATTTTATGGGCCTCTGGACTTTAACGAGGGATATTTTACGACTACCTAACAGGAACAAGTGGCCTAAGTAAATCAACTAAGTGATTTTGAGCTGTTCTGAATATGGTTTTTCGCTCATTATTATGCACCGAAAAGCAGAGATTTGATTATGCTATCTAGGAAAAGACAATGTAAAACATTATAATTAAGTTGTCAGTATCACTTTAATTATAAAATATACATCAAAGACATATATTTGTTGGAAGAAGATTAAAAACTACGAATAACTGGATAGATGTCTCTTCCTAGCATGGGACTACTCAGAAGAGCACATCTATGGTTAAATCTGGAATCGAACTCATAAAATTTGGGTTGATATTAAACATATAAACCATTGGATTCCGGTTTATTGACCAAATATTTTATATTTGAATAACAAAATTTACAGAGTAAAACGAACTTATTCTATTTAATGGATCCCAAATAGATGAACAAGAAACAAAAAATATTTATTTATTTATTTGATTACTTTCATGTAATCCGATGTTTCGCTATTTTGATTATTAGTAACTATCATATCAACCACTCTACTATTCATTGTCACATTTCAACATATCAATACAAGTTTTCAATCAGTGTACTGTGTGTTCAATTCTGATGATTATTTTCAGTTCTGTCTCAACTGTACGAGCTAGTTTATCCTAAACATTTGTTTATAATTGCACTATCGGTATAGGGTTGTGGAGATTATTTTTTTTGTAATTTTGATTTATTTACAGCTAATGAGAAATTAGCTTGAATTCATTTTACTCTTCAAATCTTGTGATTGTTTGTGTAAACTGATTAAGGGAACTGGTTGTGTTGTATCTTAATAACATTATGCTAATTGCATACATATATTGTGTATAGTTGTAATAGGAACTTCAACAATCTAACATAAACGCAATTAGTCAGTACGATTGTAGAGTACTGTAGTAAACAAAAATTCACGTAATAAAGATCAATTTATTGTTCAATACAAAATTACAGAATACTTTAGCAAAAAATGAAAAGTATACGTTAAATACATGATATGCACATCGTCCATCAATTGTCCTTTACATGGTTTATGATTCTTCCAATTCTATTGCCCTTTCTGTTCTCTTCAATTCAATCTTCTCAATTTTATATTAACATGTATTCTACTACAGATTCATGCTAGGTACTACTCATATGTGTCAGTATAAGTAGCATACACCACAGCACTATTACACTCAGATTATTGCAAGATCATTCAACTTATGTTTCTAAGCTGATTTCCAAATGACTCTATTGAACTGTGTTAAGCTTACTTTCATGTTTGGAATGAAATGATGAAAATCATATATAAAAATATGTAAACAAAATATGTTGATTTTCAAAAACTAAATCGCCTGAGTACCAAGTCTTGATCTGTGAATTATATTGAAAATTAAATAACCTTTTAGGTATTGGCCTTGTTGTTCATCTACATGTTTAATCTAATTAGCGTATTTTTATCAAGGCTTTTTTCTGCTGGATGGGATTGTCAACTTCGTACCCAATTCCCCTCCTTTACCCGAACTTGGGACCGACAGCAGCCTTAGAAGAGCTACAAGCGGAGTTTCTCTATCTATAAATCTAAGATTAATTATATGTATCGACGATATTTCCTTTTTTTCACTGCGTCACCATTTTTCATTTCTCAAACTTTTTAAAAAATTACTATTATTTTAGAACGAGCTCTAGTTCTGGAATTAGAAAGACTTAAACGACATGGTGGTACAAGCGATGGTCGAACTAAACGTATCAGTCAATTAGATGAATTTATATCTGGAATTGAAGCAGATCGTGATTATTGGCGTGGACAAGTGGAAATATTGCAACAAATGTTAAATTATCCTTCATTAACAAGTGGAACTGAAGGTAGTGGAATTGGACGTACAACAACAAGTAGTCGATTGAAAAGTAAACCACCTACTGGACAACATACAACAACACCAAGTAAATTAGGTGGTTCTTTAAAAGATGCAAAACAAAGAAAAGTAAATAATTCTACTGGTATATATAAAGTTTATTCAATAAATAATTGAACTGATATAATATACTACCCTCATTCATAAGAATACACCAGGTTTTTTTTCTTCAAAAACACTCATGGAAGTTCTCAGAATTCAGGCTCTTCAATTACCCTGTTGTCTCCATGTTATATACCACCTTCGCATGATTATTTTGTATTTCAACAATGAACATGATTTTCAAGGGCTGTTATGTCTGATGAGTAGAGAAGGATTGTAAAGAACTATGGTTATTTAGTAAACAATTTCACATGTACACATAGGACAGTAATGAGCGATAAAAATTAGGAAATCTCGGTAATTGTTATAATTATAAAGAAATTAAAAATTCCATTAATTAGTAGTAAAGTAATGTCAAACCATCAATGTTATGCCAAATCATAACGTACAATTAGAGCTTTATCCCTAAAGTTCACAAGTTTACCGAATAGACTGTATTTACACAAATTATACTGTTATCCACTTTTCATACATGAGTGATTGCTTAAATGCCTTGAATATCTACTTTTAACTGAACGTCTGTTACTAATAATAAACATTTTACAAATACTGTTAGTTAGGCTGTAAACAATAAAAGTAAGCTTCTAAATGCAAAGCAATGATACAGTGAAAAAAAGGGGGAGAAAAACAACTAAACAGTAGCTAATTATCTTGCATTTGAAGAGCACATCTGATCAACTATTGTTATAATAAGTTTAATATAAAATGAAGATAAACTAAGGTATCTAGTATTCATCTGCAATTTAATAATATGATTAATGTTTTATAGTGAAATACAAAGTTTGATGTGGTTTGTATTCACTACTGAATATGTTAAAACATGATTTATATATTCGATTACTTAGTTGAGAGAATGATGCATTAAATGTCTTATTTACGGTAGATCTTTCGGCAAACTTTCGTATTTATCTTAGTCAAAAATATCAAGTTAAAACTGTATCAAAGCTCTCAATTCTACTAAGGTATTTGTTATGAATTAGTTAGATCACTTGTTAATTGTTGATATTTCAAACAAGTGTGATACAAAAAAGTTAAATATTACTCTATATTTGAACACCTGATTTGTTGAAGCATCATACTAAAGGATATTTATGGACTAATATGTGCTAGTGAGCTCTTTCAATGTTATATAATAGTTGGATTTTCATGAGACCTAGTGTGTATATGTTCCTGTTTGTACTCCAAATTGTCTATGAAAATTATAACAGTCCTTAGACAATAGTAATATAAATTTCTAAAAATTCAAAGAATAATTAATAGAAACATTAAATTCACTTGGTATTGTTTACTTGAATCTTTCTATTGATGTTTAGGACTGCAGGTGATCAATCTCTTATTGGCATTCGTGCATTTTGTACGGATTCTCTCAATAGTGCATTAATTTACAAGCATTATAAGCAAAGATAGTAGCTAGCAATAGAAGCCAGGGCACGCGTTTCGTCATATTTGAGACTTTTCAGCTGGATGTATTTGCATCCCAGAGTTGGTGTTCACTCTGGGAATCAAACCCAATACCTTTCCCTTCAAAAATCATCACTTATCCACTTAGCTACAGAGGTCAACAGCTAGCCACTATACATCATTCCTTATAATGAAATGAACCAATATCGAGGCAATTTATTTATTTATTTGAACACACAAATATTGGTACAATAGGGCACCAAATATATATGCACCACACAAAACAATGGGAAATTGGAGAGAAGAAGGAAAGGAAAGTAGGGAGCGTAAAAGAATAGCAAAAAAACAATAACGAACGGATTAGTGTAAGGTAGTGTAATAATAATAATGGGTGAAACAGAAACGCACAATCAGAAGAGATCTTTCAGTTAAGGAAGAAATAATCACTTTTTATGAAGAAAGTAAAAGGTTACAACAGGATCGCCACTGGCTTATATTCTCAGCCATATCTGATAACGTCTTTAGCCACTGTGTAGCACCATCTCTCGGACCCCAACCAAGCAGTCGTGAAGGACCAACACAGGCCAGCCCCTTGCAGCTTTGCTTCATGCCACGACACCATGTCATGCACTGACCACCTTTTACAGCCAGGCTAACATCACGAAGGCGCCAAAGATGGCTCAGATTGACATCACCCACTCTGGCTTTCACTATATGTGCATTGATCTCATCACTCACGCCACCAACACCAGCACTCATGCAGCTACCCAGATACACAAACTTCTCAACTACGTCTATCTGCTCACCATCCAGAGTGAGTACAGGATTAGAATCCTGCCAGTCTTATAGAAATACTTTGCACTTCGAAGGTGCAAAGCATATAACATACCTACGGACACTGATTGCCAACTGATTAAGTGCAGATCGGATGGCTTGGGCATTATCGCACAGTAAGACAATATCATCCGCATACTCAAGGTTGAGAAGTCTTTCTCCAGGCAACAGATCCACACCGCCGTTACTTACATCCATCAGAGCTGTTCTCAGAATATCATCGATGGCAAAGTTGAAGAAGAATGATGAGATTGAGTAACCCTGCATAACCCCACTGCTCGAATGGAACAATGGAGAAAGGTGGTTGTATGCCCTCACTCTACCTGAGGTGTTTGTATATAGGGCCTTTAGTATGTTAATGAACTTCTCAGGCACACCCTTCTTCAATAGACAATCCCAGAAAACAGTCCTGTTCAACAAATCGAAGGCAGCCCTGATGTCGAGAAACACTACGATTGCTGGTCTGTGATGAGTATGACGGTGTTCTAACATTTGGCGAAGGGTGAAGATATGATCAATATATCCTCGACCAGAACGAAACCCAGCCTGCTCTTCGTGAGTCAATCTTTCTCGGGTTTTGAACAGCCTACGAATTATGACGGAAGCCAATAGCTTGGACGCAATGGGAAGTAGACTTATCCCCCGATAGTTGTTACAGGAATGATGTGAACCCTTTTTAAAGATGAGGACAACTATCGACTCATTCCACGACGTCGGTACACTCTCTAGTTCCCAGAGTTTTGTAAACAACGTTGTCAGTTCTTTAACCAGAAAGTCACCACCATCTTTAAAAAGAGCCAAAGGTAATTCGTCTGGGCTCGGTAATTTGTAGCGCTCTAATGGTTAGAGTTTCCTGCGGACTTCCACCTCATTTGGTTGATCAGTCGTCATCAGCCATGGAGGACAGGACAATTTGACCGATGTTGCCAGAGCAGCAGGCTGGTTGAACTGCCCCTCGAAGAATTCTGCCCATAGTCCAAGACGTCGATGGATGTTAGTGGTTGGCGCTCCGTCATCCTCACAGATTGTTTCGCTCACACCAGACTTCTTGTTGTTAGTGGCTCGGGTGAGTTGGAAGAGCTTCCGGTAATTACCAGATGCAGCTGCTGCTTCCAGCTCATTAGCACGCTCCGACCACCAGGCTTCTCGGTCCTTACGCAAGCTCTGCCCAATTTCCTTACGTAACATCCTTCGTTTGTGGTCAAACTCACGGTCATCCGGAGTAGACCGACGGGCTTCAATGAGTTGTAAGGAACCTGAAGAAAACCAGTGTTTAAAAGCGGGACGTTTCGTGGACCCACAATTGACTGTACCCGCCATGGTGCACGTGGTTTCAGAAAAACTGCTTCAGTACTCATATTCGGTAGTAACATACAGTTTTCAACCGAACAGTGGCTCGAGAACAATGAGATAGAGCCAAATTTTCACCATAGGAAATCTGTTGTTTAAGTCAAAAAATAAGGATAGACAGAGTGAGAATAAATAAGTGAATAAATGACGTAGTAAATAACAATAATAATAATAACAATAATAGTAATAATAATAATGTGAGTCATTTTGATTGTTAAGAGCAGCAAGAAGAGTATTTTCCATAAATATAGACAGTTCATCATAATTGTGTGTGGACTGTGATACTGCCCGGGTGCCCAGACAGAAGCAGTTGGTTTTTAGGAGCCACACCCTGAGCCTTTGACCTAAAGGTCTGACCTACAAGGCAGTGGAGCATCGTGAGGAGCTGCAGTCTCATGGTAGCCGGTGACCAAAAATTGGTTCATACGCCATTTGTTCCCGCAGGATACTGGTGCCCATGCGTACCATTGGTTTGGGATCCGGTTAAAGCGCCGGACATTCGCTTTTCGTCCTCTCATTTTCGTAAACAACATCCCCGCCACGAGAAAGCAATGAGTAGGACTTCCCTGACAGAGGCTGTATACGCGTGGCCGTGTGAGAGTATTTCGAGAGGGAGGGCGATCCCGCCCCACTCTCGGCCATACCAGGGCATTTGGGGGCAATACACACAGTATGCACATATGCCAATAAGAGACTGATCAGTCGCAGTCCTAAAATTCAATGGGAATATTCTAGTAAACAATACCAAGTGAATTCAAGTTTCACCCCATCGCACAAGCCAGTGGTTATCAGGACTCAGTAGAAAGTAGATTACACGATGACATTTGAAGCGAACAGTACTAGGTATGACTCTCGGAGTGAACATCAACTCAGATGTTAATTTTCTAGTGATTTTAAACGAAAATCTTAGACCAATTCATTTTTAAAATACACTTATATAATGATTGACGTGGTCGAAAAGGTATGAAATTTTTTTTCCTATGTAATTCAAACTTTCGTTACCCTCACTATTTTGTAAGTATTAGGTAATACAATATTTACTTTTATATATTACAAATTATATGTTTTAACATCTCTGATTAACTAACTATTTGCACTTTCAGCTTGAACAACAAGTTCAAGAACTACGTGTTGAAAGAGATTTACTACGTCAAGAGTTAGATAGTATAACACGATCTCGTCATAGAAGTCCATCACCAGTGACTAGATCAAGATCATTAAATCGATTTCAGGTAAGCTAGATTTAATACTGTTTTGCTTACTTTGCGTTCAGTTGTGCAGTATATATAGTTTATTCCACGAAATGATCTTAATTAAATAATCGTTGGAGACCAGGAGAATTGGACATCTGTTTTAACCCAGTATGCTCATCTAAGAGCTCAGGACTTTCACATCTAGCTGCTAGTACTTAACATTTAAGAAACTGAGCCAGCATCCAGTGGTTTGTACGGTTAACTTCAATCAGTTAGTTATATTGCCCAGCTAATTTCCATTTCTGTTGTTGAGTGACTATCCAACACTTGACAAGGTTACACCCTATTAGTCACTGTTTCTTATTTAACAGTATAATTCGAAAATATCCACAAGTCCTCAAGTATACATGTCTATATATAAATGATTCATAATGATATCCTAAAAAGCAAACTATATAACTGACTCTATTCACATAAATTTACTTAAAGCGTTATCAGGTCAATCCACTCTAACTTAGTTTAACATATTTTTGATATGGTTGACAAAATGACTGCACTTTTGTTACAAATTATTTTGTATAACTACTAGTATAGGGGTTGTGGAGATTACTAAGTTTTTGATTGAGATCATGAACCGATGGTTGATATTAGACACTATCACCATTGGATGCCGGCTCAGTGGTCAAATAGGTTAAGCGTTCGCGCGCGAGACAGAAGGCCCTGGGTTGTAATCCCGCGAGGGGGATCGTGGATGCGCACTGCTGAGGAGTCCCACAATAGGACGAAACGGCCGTCCAGTGTTTCCAGGTTTCTAACGGTGTTCTAACATCAATCGGTACATGGTCTCAATCCAAAAAATTATTTGTATAATTTTTATTCATCACCGCTGACCTATCTGAGAATGGACATGGATGAGATAACATTAATAACTGCCAACTACACTTTGATACCATGATATAATAGTTTTGTTCTCTCCAAATCCTGATTACTTCAAAATACAAATCTTGTATGTAAAATTCATGTGATCATGAGATCAATTAAGATTATTTCACATTGGATTTCATTTACTAATTTACCATCTATATTCAATAATTATCAGTTAATGAATTCGTCGAATTTAACATTTAACATATGAACAAATAAAACGACATTGAACTGATTCGTACAACGGAAAGTGCATTAAAGGTCAACTGGACAAATGTCACCTTAAATTAATATGTCAGTTTTAAAGTTGACATTATTCAAATACGTTGTATTCTGTTTTTAAAATTAAAGCATCACTTCACTAGTGCACAGTGAAATAATACATTAGGCATTGATTACATACGATATAACTGAATTCGTGAATCAGTTCATAGTATTCACTATATATCTATTTTTTAAATCATATTTTATTAAGTTGAAATAGTTTTGTTTAAAGGTTCTACCAGTGATATTATTAACATAAATGTATTCATTCGTTGTCTTCTTTTCGATCCAAAGTTTCTAACTTACCTTATCAATTTTTCTAAATTTTTCTAATCCATCGTTTCTTCACGAATTATTTCTTCATTCCTTAATCTTTTATGCCAACACTAATACTCTTATTAATTGGATTTCTTTGGGATTTCATCATACTTTGCTATAGGGTGTTGCGTATGCCTGAACACTGATTACCATGACAGGCAATGCTGACTAGTGTTGGGGATGGTTGGATGAAAGTTAGGGAGGGCCAAACCAAAATGTGGTATCAGTGCTTGAAGACACTAACTTCTAGTCTGAGTCATGTTGGAAGATACAGACTACTTAGTTGGGGTCCGCGTGACTATCGTAACCAATGGTTGGAGACTCTTGGTGACATGGCCCAGAATCGATCACAATGGCGTAGGTGTATACACTCTCTGAAATCGCTTCATATCTTTGTTTTTACGAACTAATTCTTTCTTCCAGTACTATGTCCTTATATACCATCTTTTATATATTACTATCACTGAAGTAACTACTTCTATGAATTTGGTGTTCATCTTGTTGTGTTAATAAGGTATGGCAACTTGAACCGATGCATATATGTGCCTGGTCTTACGTTGTAGCTGACTAACTAACTCATGGGGTGTAGAAACATTGATGGTATACACATGTGTCATGTCTTACGTTGCGTATGACTCGCCAAGACTGACAAATAATCTTACCTTTTACAGTTGTAATTCAATTCATTTTAGTAAGAATAAACAAATTGTTTGTTTTATTGTTTTTAAAATGAAAACAAAACTTTTGTATTTATGACTAATGTAAATAAAATTTTCTTAATTTTTTGAACCCATATTGATTTATATCGCAGGTAATTTCAAATTACAAATTTTCACCTATCACTTATCTATAGTGATTTACATTCGGTTTCATATATCTTACTCTAATCTTTTAGGCCTAGATTGTTTGAAATGGATGTTGGCTCCTTTCATTTTGGTAACATACTTACGTAACATATATAATACACTATTTAGGAGCGTTGAGGGTTTCTATTCATCTTTCTTGAGTTTGTTTTATTGTCTTTCTGTCATGTTACTAAACTTGTTAATATTAAATTAAGTTTAACAGAAAGATTGTAAGCCCCACCGTCAGTTTCTAATTTCCCACGACGGTTGTATGTTTATCAGAGTACACTAGGAATTATTAGTGAGTTGCGTCACTAGGGTTGGGTAACGTAAAAACGTAACCTGGCGCGTATCCTGAGAAGATATTACTCACTTACTTACGCCTGTTACCCCTCATAGAGGAACATAGGCCACACACAGCTATTTTCATCCAACTCCGTTATGGGCAATCCTACTCAGTTGTTTCCAGTTGCTATTCATCCTTTTGATTGGTGCTTCCGAATACTCGACTCAGTGTATTCTCAGGTCTTCCTCTTTTCCGTTTTTTTTCAGGATTCCAAGTTAGCGCTTACCTCGTGATGCAGTATGATTTCCGCAATGTACGTCCTATCCACCTCCAATGTTTTTTCCTAGTTTCCCGTGTAAAACAAGCTTGCTAAAAAAACGCTAACAAGAATAATAAGATATATATATCACGCTTTAGTAAAACGTTCTAAATGAGTACATCAGATATTTAAGTTGTTTAAAGTAGTATCATACAGACTGAACATAATGAAATATTACAATAGCCTACTTACTTGCTTACTTATGTGTAATGTTGTTTAATACCATTCACTTGTTAAACTATAGCAGACATGTGGTAGGTAGAATTTGCCGTTTTATTTTGGTATAAACTTATTGGTTATAAGTAAGTTTTACATCCAGATATGATGGATGAAATGAGTGAATTTTTATTATAGATACATGACAATGGTTATTAGGTCCAAATACAATTCATTCGATAGTTCTTATCAGTGGTGTTAAATTTTCAGTGACTTATCTAGAAAAATACACATTTTCTTGTAGTGGTTAATTTATTTACATCTAATGTGAAGAACTAGATAGTCTAACAGAAATATCGGCAACCATGCATGTTTATAAGACTTTTCACATTACTTATTGTCTAATATAACACTGAATCATCAGCTCAAATGTAATGACGGACAGATGTTATATTATATCGACTTTACTCTTTAGCTGCTATTAAAGTTCTTGTTGCTACTTTTAATATCGAACTGCTTAAAACATATCAGAAATCTATTGATCCACGGATGTTTACTCTCAGAGCCACAGTTAAGATTGAGATCATATTTATAAAACCTCAAAGAAGTGAGATAAATGGGAATTATATTTCAAGAGTTTAGCATGAACAACTAAACAAATGTATGGCAGAGATGGTTCAATAAGTAAAGAACATGTATAGAATATTATTAAACATACACGATAAACTCAAACAAACTAGAAATGTACAACTGTTAAGAATTCATAGATGAGTTTGGTAGCACATATATAATAGTTACAACATGAACCCCTTCGTAGAATATAGATATTATTAGTTATATCTGTATATGAAAACTAGTAGAATAACGTAAAAGAAATACAAAGATTAAAGTTAGCAGTCCGTTATGCATAATGTAGTCAGATAATAAAATGATTAACAGAAGAGTTATTTGAGGTAATAGCAATGACATAATTGACGAAATGATACGTTAAAAATGTACAGTAAGCGTAGGTTGCTTGTGTAATAAGTATGAGATTATAGAATTTTCTTAAACATTTTATCTCACAATGAATCTAGTTAGATCATCTTTAAAAATTCAGAAGCCTAATCATGATCCTAACGAGGATTGAACTGCGTCTACTTCAAAAGCTTAATCTTATAAGGAAGATTTATACCCACAAAGAATTAATCCATTCAGTAAACTACCGACTACATTGAGTAATTTGTCAACAGTACAAATGGTACGTTAACCAAAAACCTACAATAAATTAATTGACATATATGAAAATGTGCTGAAATCCTTTGATTTCTTCCAAATACATCTTTCTTCTAGAATTTAGCTTTTGACGTAGCTGGGGCTAAGAGATGAATGAACTATTTTATCGTGTTTTTAAGGTTAGATAATATTTACTTCAAATATTACAAACATCACATACAGTTACTTTCTTTGCTCTGTTTCTAACTAGTAGGAAATGATAATAAGTTATTGATTAAACTTTGAGCTACACATTGGTAGCATTGTTCAATACAAAGAGCTTTGGACAGCAGTTTCCTTAAAAATGAATGTTCTATAGTAAATTTAATTTCATTGGACAGAGATTAGATTTCTAACGGGTTCAATTTGAAAGGATAAAATCGGAGATATATGTTAAGAATATAAATGTTATTTTTCAATTTTCAAGAAGTCATATACCGTAACAGTAATAAAGCGTTGAGTGTTATATCATGTATTTATTTTTAATCAGTGTAGCTATGGCTATCTTCATGATTATTTGCATGGAATTGGAATATTTTTGCCCCTTAATCAAGGAACTATTTGACTATTAAAACACTGGACTTATACAAGTTTACTATTTTAGATACCAGTTAAATTTCAAAGATTTTATTGATACTGTGGTGTGTGCTACTGATGTCGATAAATATAAGTAGTATATATCATCAATCAAAAGTGAAATGCCTGGAGACAGAAAGTTAAAAGGATCAAAGAAAAGAGAACAGGAACAAAGAATGATTGGTGTGAAAATAAGAGAACAATGAAGTCTGAGACGAATGATTATTGTTTGAGAAAGGGAACAGTCAAGTTTGAGACAATTGATTGGCATTTCTCAAATTTACTGTCTGGTTCTCAGATTTTACTAATTTGTTCTATAATTTTATGTCCAAATACATTCGATCGTCACAGCTTATGCTTTCGTTCACTATGACATGATTACCGATAAACCAGCATGATGTTACTCGTCCGTCAATATCTTCCAGCACGTGGTTAAATGTACATTAGTCATCAGTGGAATTCAAACGTATATTTTTGCAATTACATAGCTCAATTTAGATCACTTTCTTTATATAAGAAAAATATCCCAGAAATTTTGATTCAGGAAGCATTCTGCTGAAGATATGTTTAATTTCATTATTTTATTCAAAAACATATTGATCTTTTGAATTTATATAAATGAGGTAGTTCATTTTGTACAAAATACTCCATGGTCGTTGTCATTGTCCAATTTTTTTTCATTGTAATTTCTTTTAGACTCGAGATGATTACACGGAGTTGACTAAACTTCGACAAGAACGCGATGAATTACGAAGTTTACTCAATAAACTAGAACATAGAGTTCAAGAAGTAAGTAGAATTTTAACGTATATATATATACCAATAAGGGAAGTAAATTAGACTATTTACAAATTATTGATTATTTATTTATTTGAACAAATAAATAATGGTACAAAAAGGCACCAAATATGTATGCACCACACAAAACAATGAGAACGGGAAGGGAAAAAAAGGTAAGCAGCGTAAAAGAAAAGAAAAAAAGAAGAACAATAATGACCACAGATTAGTGTGAGGTAGTGTAATAATAATAATAATAATAATAATAATAATAATAATAATAATAATAATAATAATAATAATAATAATAATAGGGGAGACGGAAAGGTACAACCAGAAGAAATCTTTCTGTTAAGGAAGAAACAATCACTTTTTATGAAGAAAATAAAAGGCTACAACAGGATCGCCACTGGCTTATATTCTCAGCCATATCTGATAACGTCTTTAGCCACTGTGTAGCACCATCTCTCGGACTCCAACCAAGCAGTCGTGAAGGACCAACACAGGCCATCCCCTTACAGCTTTCTTTCATACCATGACACCATGTCATACACTGACCACCTCTCCGCTTTCTCCAACTAGTTCCAGAGTCGGCAAATAATGCACGACGTGGAATTCTCTGGGACGACATTCGGAGAACATGTCCAAGCCACCGAAGTCGGTGTTTCAAGATGGTGACGCCAGTTGGATTATCGTCTCTGTGCCCAAACACACGATGCCGAACCTCTGCATTACTAACATGGTGTTGTCAGTAGATGTCAGCAATCCTTAGAATACAGCGATGATCGAACACAGAGAGTCGTCTAACATACTCAACTCGGAGAGGCCAGGTTTCACAAGCATAGAGCGAAACTGCTCTCACCGACGCGTTGTAGATCCGACCTTTTACAGCCAGACTAACATCACGAAGGCACCAAAGGATGGCATCATCCACTCTGGCTTTTACTATACGTGCATCGATCTAATCAATCACGCCACCAACACCAGCACTTATGCAGCTACCCAGATACACAAACTTCTCAACTACGTCTATCTGCTCACCATCCAGAGTGAGTACAGGATTAGAATCCTGCCAGTCTTATAGAAATACTTTGCACTTCGAAGGTGCAAAGCATATAACATACCTACGGACACTGATTGCCAACTGATTAAGTGCAGATCGGATGGCTTGGGCATTATCGCACAGTAAGACAATATCATCCGCATACTCAAGGTTGAGAAGTCTTTCTCCAGGCAACAGATCCACACCACCGTTACTTACATTCATCAGAGCTGTTCTCAGAATATCATCGATGGCAAAGTTGAAGAAGAATGATGAGATTGAGTAACCCTGCATAACCCCACTGCTCGAATGGAACAATGGAGAAAGGTGGTTGTATGCCCTCACTCTACCTGAGGTGTTTGTATATAGGGCCTTTAGTATGTTAATGAACTTCTCAGGCACACCCTTCTTCAATAGACAATCCCAGAAAACAGTCCTGTTCAACAAATCGAAGGCAGCCCTGATGTCGAGAAACACTACGATTGCTGGTCTGTGATGAGTATGACGGTGTTCTAACATTTGGCGAAGGGTGAAGATATGATCAATATATCCTCGACCAGAACGAAACCCAGCCTGCTCTTCGTGAGTCAATCTTTCTCGGGTTTTGAACAGCCTACGAATTATGACGGAAGCCAATAGCTTGGACGCAATGGGAAGTAGACTTATCCCCCGATAGTTGTTACAGGAATGATGTGAACCCTTTTTAAAGATGAGGACAACTATCGACTCATTCCACGACGTCGGTACACTCTCTAGTTCCCAGAGTTTTGTAAACAACGTTGTCAGTTCTTTAACCAGAAAGTCACCACCATCTTTAAAAAGAGCCAAAGGTAATTCGTCTGGGCTCGGTAATTTGTAGAGCTTCAAGAGTTGGAGTTTTACTTGCGGACTTCCACCTCATTTGGTGGATCAGTCGCCACCGGCCAAAGTAGCTAGCTCTGCAACCAGATATAACAGCAAACTTCATAGTTCAACAACAAATAACTATAAATAATGACGTGATAATACTTAAAGTTTTTTAAAATGGTGTAAAGTATAAAGTACTTATTATGTAATTCGTTTTTCTTATGTATTCAGTCGTTAATAATGAAAATCCATTATTTCTATCAATTATTTGGTACTAAATATCCATACTTGTTCACATGAACTAATTAAACTAAGAGATCGTTTGACTACAGTTAAGAATGGGCTACCTGATCTCAGCTTATACGAACAATGAAAATAATATTCTAATTAAAGTATTACGTTTTTCTAAATGTTCACCATGAAGCTATATAGTATGAGTATCTACAGTTAATTGACTAGGAAACATTTACTTGGTTTGAGTAAAACAGTAGTAAAAAATGTTACTTAGCCGGAAATTACAGATGAATTCGACATAAGCATTTTTGGCTCACGGAACAAACAGTTTTAGCAAACATACAGTGTTGTATCATTTTTAAATACTTTGCTAAATGGTTGACTAAATTATGTCGGCAGAAGGTCAGAAATATTCATATTCTATTTATTATGACTTATTGGAAAGTAGTACACTCTTTTTAACGAAAATCCTTAATTCCACGGATATTTAATTCGAATGGTTGAAAACCAAAATAAAATAAAATAAATACTAAAGAAGTCCTCATTAGGACATGTTAATTTAATATTGATCATATGATCTTTTGTGACTAGCTTCTAGATTGCTGTACTGTTGTTGTAAAGAAAGCTGTGAACTTTGAAGAGTAGAGCGAAGGTTATGCCGCATTGCAAGTTGAATGTAGCTTAATGCATGGAACATTTAATACTAAATAAGTGGGATTGTAAGTACAATCATGCTTAAACGTAAATGACACAATGCGAAGTCGTATGTGCTCGTTGTAACTCAACTCAATACTGCCAACTTCTCTAATATTATATTTAGCTTTAATATTGAGTAACACATATTCTAACTTCAATTTAGTTCTAGCTCCTAGAAACCTTAAAGTTGCTGAATTCTTAACATCAACCTCTAAAGTTCAAAATATCAGTCATATTTCAAGTCCTAACAACTAGGTTTATCTGTCTAGACTATCAAACAATATCAATTTGTCCGTAAAGAATTTTGGTAGATATAAACAAAATGATTTGAGGAGATCAACATAAATTCATTTTGTTTGGTTCTAGTGAGTTGATTAAAACGTCTTTTTTATTAATAAATTTCAAGGGTGAGAATATAATTTATGGACTACCTTTGAGCAAAGCCTTGAGAGTGTCTACCTACTTAATAGGGTTAAATGATGGTTACAAAGCAGTTTGAAGAACAAAGACAATTATTTACAGTTGATGGTAAGGGTTAGGATTTAGATTTATGGTTTTCATCACGAACTGACATAAACTAAAATGTGAAGACGCTATTTGGACGAATGAGTGAGCGAATTTCGCGCCTGAATTCGAGAACTGTTTTCCTAAATCTGATTGGTTCGTGCATAAATTATAGTCTCACCATTTTAAGTGAGCAAACTATAATGTTAGAAAATAGTAAATAGTTATTCATTGTTATTCTTGAATAACTATCCATCAACTTCTGATAAAGTGGAAATTTGATGTAACCTAGCCATCAGGTTTTATGATCTCTTATGTGAAAAGAAAAACTAAAATAACAGAATCTTAAAAGTGAAGTATACTCAACACGCCTTAAAATGAAAAAAATAATAATAATTCGAGTTTACAACGTATATGTGTTATGAAACTTCCCATCGATTTTAATATGATTGCCATACATTTACGAAGTACAAACTTGCTAGGGTTGATTCTATCACGCGTTCACTTAATCTGCGAACGAGAACAAAGACTCAGTGACCAAAGACCAGTAAGCTAGCTATTTGATGCGTCCCAGCCCCGCTAACTGAAGGGGGAAGTCCAAGCTTGGAATGTGAAAGTATATTTTGCAAACAGCCAGAAACGAGCAAGCCCACAGCGGTCCACAAACACAATTCAAACGTCACAATCGATTGATCACTGGGTGGCGATCAGTGTCATGCGTGTCTAGTCCTTATTAGTGCAGATCGAATGCTATCGATCATGTTGCATTGTGGCCACCCGTCTAGGTGACTCGACACTGCGGGCACTATATATTGAGATTAGATGGTGGTTGGAGGTAGTCGACAGGAAACCCTGGACCCGGGTTTCGTGCTACTTGGCACTCGTCAGCAAGATGTACCTGTAATCTTGAGGGTACACCTTGCTGTCAAATGCCAAGTAGCACGAAACCCGGGTCGAGGGTTTCCTGTCGACTACCTCCAACCATCATCTAATCACAATTCAAACGTATATATATATCAATTATATGTATATAATCGATATTACCATGGAAGTATCTTCAAACATTTAATCGATGATTTAGTCAATCGACTGCCATAAAAATATTTAACATTTAGTCGATAAGAATAGTTTAGTTAATTTACACTTATACGGCAAAATATACGTATAGTAATGGTCCACAAATGGATCCCAAAAATTACCACTCATTATTCTTATTGGGGCATAACAAAACTATTACATTCGACTTAGAGCTACATCTATTTTGTGAAGATTATTACCTATACAATATTGTCTAAACAGTAAGTGAAACAAAGTACGTGAGTGGAAGATCATTGTATAAAGAAGGGATTTTATGTCCTACATTGGAACTCATAAGTACCAGTAAGTGAACGAGTTATTCTATGCCATATCCAATAAGAGTTTATCTATTCTACTTGTTGATTCATGATGTCGAAAACAATAAAAGAATTTCTTAAGTTACAAAATTAATTCCGATCGTGAGTGTCCCTTGAGTGTGATTTTCGAATTATTCAAATACAGATATTGTTTTAGATCTATTATATTATATTGGTAATTCTTTATAGCACAGCCGAAATCTAATTTAAACTTAAACTGTTGATTTTAAGTATAATACTTAAGTGCTTATATGCGTCTAGAGTGTAGTTTCATATATATCTAGGTTTTACCATGATTACATTTAGTTCATCTCCGCCTGTAACTCTTCTAGAGTTACTGCCGGTTTCAAGTCCGGGAAAGAAGGAGACATACGGTTGACAACCTCATCCTGTAGAAGATAATCTTGCTAAAAAAACCTCAAACAGCAAAGCTAGTTAGTTGTGAGTGAAATGCTGTAGTGGAGTGAATACTGGGAATATTGTAGCTTTGATACTACTTTACAGACTATTATTTGTCATGTCCTATGTTTCGTCAAATGTCACGTGATACAAATCGCCAATCACAATACTGGCTTTCGTGACCTTGTTCCCGTACTAAGCCAATGAAAGTCAACCAGCACTAGTAGCCTTCAGTCAACTCTGAATACTTTTTGGTCCTCTGTTCGGTAGCTGCTTGCGAGGTTTATGTACCAAATCGCATCACACTACCAAATGAATAATGATTATTAGACAAGTTAAAGCCGAAAGCAGCTATGGGTATGGAAGCCTGCAACTAATAGGTTGGAAATAAATTAAGGTAAACCGTATAACAGTAGCTCATTGGCTAAATGAAAACTTATGTTTAAAGGAATATAAATAAATATGATCTAGTTAGATGATGATTATACGATAAGAATATATATAATAACTGTTTATAAATAATTCCTTACTTATGCCTGCTACCCCTCGTGGAGGACCATAGGCCACAGACCAGCATTCCCCATCCAACTCTGCTCTGGGCAGTCCTTACCAGTTGCTATTCATCCTTTTCATGTCTGCTTTCAATACCCGACACAGTGTGTTTTTTGGCCTTCTTCTTTTCTGTTTTCTTTAAAATTCCAAGTTAGCGCTTACCTCGTGATGCGGTTTGATGATTTCCGTAATGTATGTTCTATCCACCTCCAACATCTTTTCCTAATTTCCTCTTCATTTGGGATCTGGTTTATTCTCTTTTACAATAGCTTTTTGTTGATCGCATCCGGCCAACAGAAGTTGAGTATCTTGAGTGGACAATTGTTTATGAATACTTGTACTTTTTTGATGAGGACTGTGATAGTTCTCCAAAATAATTCCTAGCAGTTAGTATTCATTTGTTCTTCGTATAGATGTAACATTATTGTTTGTATTTTTATTGTATGATTATTAAATAACTGAATTGTTATATTTCTTAAGTTACTGTATCATGAGCTTTTGTTAGACCTATTAAATATTGCTATACGTTTTATTATTCCTTATACCCCATTTGTTCCATTGTATGCCACTTACGTTATGATCTTATGTAAATTATTATTTCTTATTTGAATGTGTTAAGGTCTATTATTTCATATACGTGAACTAACGAATGTTTGAGACAGATATACTGGCTGCTTGAAGTGTAGATAGTAGGAGCTTGCCTGGTTTGTTCTCCTATTAAAACTCATGAATGGAAATAGAAGTCAGTCGTATCGACAAAATTTATGAGTAAAGATTATCTCACTCCAACTCAAGGTTAATCTTGCCAGTTGAGGCATATAAGTAATCAAGGCTTAGTGGTCTAGGTGATTCTAACCAGGATTCAGATTAGCAAATCTTCTCTGTATATCGATTGACCTGTTGTCATCGTACAAGCATGAATTGTATGAGATTCAGAATAAGATAAATTCAACACTTATCAGTCTGATTGAGCATAGTCTATTTAGGGGTTTATCTTAAATTAAAAAAATGTAGAAAATGGTTGTTTAAAATTATGCACTCTCACTGATAAGGACTTAAATTCCGTAAATTGTTTAATTAACCATAATTTATAGGTTTTATTCGACACTGACTGTTTTCAAATGCATTGCCACTGAAAACTAAGAAATAATGGATGATGTGTGATGAATACAACCTAGAAATTGGATTAATCTTCACAACACTTCCTCAACCAAACTATGATTGCTTACTAGTCATAATTAGAAGTCAATATAATTGAAGTTCAGATAATTGGGAAGTGAATGTTTATAGCTCTATATCGCGGGCTGATTGCAGTTAGAACTGCACTACTGTATTACGACCCAATGATTCTAGTGGTTTAGCTTTCACAATATGACTTGAATGCCTTAGGTTTTATCCTTAGTGATGTGTACACTACTCAAGAATCATATGCCAAAATGGAATACCTATTCAGTGATCACATGCTTTCTTTAATATCCCATTTGAAATCAAACTGTGAAGAATACATCACACAAATTAATTCAATCTTCAAAAGAAATCCTTTCAATTAATTAACCATAGATTGTGAAATTCACCGAGCAAACATATATTATTCCGTCAACTATCATATTTTTTTCTTTTTCTGCTTTCCAACTGATCTTCAGGTTACTTATCTAGTAAAATAAAATTATTTCCATCCAATGAATTTATAAGTTCTATTAATTTCATTACTATCTAATCCATTATTACATGTTTAGAATGTACATAGTAATATTACTTTTTATGATAACAAGTAGCATAACTTAGAAATCAGGTCAACGATATGATTTAATCAACTGTGTACTAATTAGAGAAAGGACGGAAGTTCATCATTTAAAATAAACATGTTTACATGTTCATACAGATTTTCTATATTTTATGACTTATTTCAAAGTCTTAATCAATATTATTTGTTTCTTTTCTTTTACTCTATGCTTTGGTTGTATGATATGTTGATAAATAATATGTGTTATTACAGTAATTTACTGTTCTAAGCAAAGATGAATAGTGGATAGCAGTGGAATCCAGGACATGCGTTTCGTCCTATTTGGAACTCCTCAGCTGGATGTACTTGTATCGCAGAGTTGATGTTCACTCTGGCACTCAAACCCAGTACCGTTTGCTTCAAACGCCATCACGTTATCTACTTAGCTACTGAGTCCTGATAGCTACCTGCTTGTGCAATGGGGTGAAGTTTAAATTTACTTGGTGTTGTTTTACTTGAACATTGAACATTAACTCTGGGATGCAGATACAACCAGCCGACGAGTTCCAAATAGGATGAAACGCGCGTCCTAGATTCCACTGCTAGCCACTATCCATTTTTACTTAAAAAGCTTGTGACTTAAGGCTATATCGAGTCAATCTGCCCAGGATGCACATATGCCAACATGAAACTGATCAATTGCATCCCTAATTAACAATCGGAAGATACAAATAAAACAACACCAAGTGAATTTAATTTGCTGTTCTGTTTTAAGAAAAGAATTAAGTGAAGTATGGAAGGGGTAAATAGGCCTAAAATAATAATTTATATTAGAATGATACCGTTTACATTCAATTTATTTATGAAACTTAGAAAAGTATCTTTTTTTTGTAGGGGTGTAATATAATTATAATGTTAACTGTGTAGATTTTGTCCACGGAAACACTTGAAAAGCACATTAATGACAATAGTGTAAATATATGGTAATTTTTATGATAGTGAATTGTTTAAATTAATTCGCTTTAGAGTATTAATTAAATTATATAAAAGTACATTGAACATGTTCTTGTGAAAGATCAATTTGATTTAATAAAATTGATTAATTTTTAAGGAGTTTATGATAATTCTCTGTGAAAGTCTTCAAAAGACAGAAAATTGATGGAAACATTCCAATCGATCAAATTTCTTGTTACTTGCAAAAGAATTCTGGAAACTGACATAATATTCTTTGAGTTATTTTGATTAGGCAACTACCTATATATATATATATATATATATATATATATATATATATATATATATATATAAATTTGGTATTCTTCTCAGAAGCCTCTAGAACGTTAAGGTCACATATGGTGCCATGGATACCCTTGTTTTCTGTACTCTAACTAAATTTAAATTTGAAACTTCTTTCGTCCTTTGTCTCCTGTGGATTAAGAAAGTCGACATTAGTACCTAAGTGCTCAGTTATAAGATAAATTAAGATTCAAATATCATACTGTGAACAATATTTCAAATATTTTTAACTATTTTTTAATAAAAGGATAAGATTAAAGAGACAACAATTCAGTTCGCAACATTTAAAAGCATGTAATAAACAGTAAACTACTCACATAATTTTTGTTTTGTTAGGGTTTAACTTTACTAGATATTAACGACTCAATTTGATCAATATCTGTTGGCATATATTCATATGCACCTTGATATTGCTTTTTAATTATTTGTCAGCCGATTGTATCTATACCTCATTATTCATATCTACACTGATACCCAAATCTAATGCATATGGGATTAGTTGTTGATAACTGGTTTATACAACACTGTACATTCAAATATAATCTTTGTGGAAAGAAATAACACTGCAATTGATTCCCTTTAAACTACATTTTAAATGAAATCACTTTACAGAACGAGTTGAAAGATATCTTTATAACACAATTAACTACTGTTGATGTTTAACCCCATAGTTTACATCTACTATAAACACTTCATAGTCCGGATAATATATGATATTATATATATATACCGGATAAGGGATTGCGAAAGGATTTGGTTATCACTTTTTCTGTATGCATTCTAATGTAATGGAATACAACACAGTAATCTTAGTTCTAATATCAAGTACAATATCTTTAGGATTTTGATTGAGAATTTGATGGTTCGCACTTTTGAACACTAATAGTTTCTCGAAATTACAAGTTAGATCATTTTTTTACAAACTTCCCGTTTATTCAATATAATTTATTGCTATTTATATTAAAATACAGACTTAACATTTCTTGATCACTTCTTGTGTATTAAATCACTTTGTACTTTTTGCTATTCTTCTTCTTCTTCAGATTCAGCGTAATGTTCATACACTTACACAAGAAAGAGATCAAATTAACAAATTATACAACGATGTAGGTTTACATTGTTCCATCTATTATTACTGTTGTCAATGATTTTATCAATAGCAATGAAACATAACATAAACAATTGAGAAATCAGGAATAAAATTATGGATAATGATTATTTAACAGAAATCTTAAGTCACGAACTCATCTTGGTTAGATCATCGTTGAAAACTTGGAAAGATTGGATGGCCATTTCATTTTTATGTGGAACTCGTCATTAATGGTAACTGGTCATGTGATGTTGTGAATTTTAAACAGAGGAGGATGAAAGCGAGTAATGGAACCCGAGACGCCCGTATCATTCAACTTGAGACCGACAAATTGGATGTACCTGTATCTAATAGTTGATTTCCCTATGGGATTCGAACCGAACACTTAAAGCCCCAAACTCCATTGCGATATCAAGTTAGCTACTGAGTCTAAACACTCACTGGATTGTTCAATGGGGTGAATTTGAATCCATTTGTATTATCCATTGTACAACTCCTGGAAGCGAGGGGGTGAATGCTCATTGCTGAAAATTCCACTATTAATATGAATGGGCTGTTTAGTGCTTTTAAATCTTCACTGGTGATTTAAATTAAATCGGTTCATAAATCCTATGAAATTCAACAATCTCCACAACTACTTACTAACTTTCAAGTATATTATACTAGTAAAGTATTGTCAAATGACGTAACTACTCATGTTATTAAGGATACCGCCATACGAGTTCGTTTTGAATATCCATCAATTTAACCATTTTATGAGTGAAAATATAAGGATGCCAAACTTATGTTTAGAATTGGTTTATCTCAATTTTAAGAATCGAGTAGAAAACTCAACAGTTACAAAATTCAAAGCTCATATGATTTGTTTAGGCAAATGACATTCAGTTTGACTATAAGTTTCCAAATCAAACATTATTTGTGTTTATAAGGAATATACACATTTATCGCTTATCTGGTTTTACAGAAATTATAATTTTCTCTTTTTATTTTTTAACTATAACTATTCACACTAGTCACGAAGTGAAATACACCGATTACATCAAGATCTTTATGCAATGCATGAAACTGGTGATCGAAATACACAAACTACACAAACTGTTTTACGACGTGTTGAATCAGAAAGAGATCGTGCATTAGTTGATTTATCCAGAGTAACTGCTGAACGTGATAGTTTAATTACAAAATATAAAGTATGTATAACACTGAAAATTACTAATTTACTATTGACGTTTTGTATAATCTTAATATGCCTATACATAACACTACACTTATGCACACAAAGTATAATACGTAAACACTAGTTTAAATATGCACAGATTTTATTACACTCTATGTTGTTATCATTTTTATTGCTACTGTGTATTGTTTCATCTCACTTTATGGTGTATAACGTCTGATCTAGAAACAAATCACTACAGACTTAATAGTTTGCATAATACTGTTACAGAAATATATATCTATTTATGACAGTTTGATGATTTTTGGTTGTTGCTGTTGTTTCGAGCGAAAAATTCAACTTCTTTATTTTAGAATTGTACAGAAAATGCTCATGCAGATAAATTACGTTTAACTAATCAATTGGATCATTTAGAAAATAGTTTAAATCAAGTTGCAGAAGAACGTGATGAAGTAATCAGACGTGTATCTATGCATCGACTACGTATAGATGAATTACAACAACGTCAACAACAGTTAGAGGATAGTTTAGCTGAACGACAAGAATTACTTAAAGTAAGTTTAATTTATTGATAGAAATGGTTTTCAACTTCCAGTTGTTGGTATTCAGGGCTAAAATCAATCAATGTCTGTTGTCATTTATGTATTTGAATAAGTGATTGGTTCAATCAAAAAGTACTAGGTCTGAGTCTCAGTGTAAACATCAGCACTAGGATGTGCATATATTCAACTGACGGGTCCGAAATAGGACGAAAAATGTGTTCTGTAACTTACTGCTAGTCATATAATAAATATAAGTTTAATTTGGTTTGATCTATTTGCATCTTGACAGTTCTATGTAGTTCGTTTTATGTACTCGAACTCTACTGTAATAAGATATGAATAGTCTGATCTCTTCTGTTTATGTTCATTAATTTACATGAAGTGAGATAAGTTAATGACAGTTTGCGTTTACTATCATTATGTATAAAACATCAGATAATAACTCGGTTATATATGAATAAAAAGATGGGTATGAAAGGTTTTTATTCTACGATGCTCAATTGGATATAACCACTTAGGTAGCAAATATAATTATCAATGGAGGTTGTTAATCTCCTCCAGGATGTTCTTATTTCTAGCCCCTAATGAAGCTTTGACTATCCAAACTATCCTAATTACACTGTTAATTGTATAACTTCAGACGAAATAATATCAATTTGACTGAGTTGTTTGGTTTTTCAAAACAGCTGCATTTTATCTGACTTTTAATATGGTTGTTTTGCCACATGAATAATTTGATCTCAATCCCTTCAATAGTTTAAAATGACCATTTTTCAAGAAAAGTATGCTCAAGCTGTTCAGTACCTTATTTTCCGATCGAAATAAAATCACTTTAATTGAAGTTGGATGACTGGAGAAAGTCGACAGAAAACCCTGAATCTAGATTTCACGATTGTTCATAATTGACAGCAGGAGGTATCTGGAATCTTAAGGGGACTGATGTTCCTTATGGGATTAAGACCTGAGTTATTTAGATTTACAATCTGGAGCATCACTGTAGTAGGATAGAGATATTCACAGATGACTGATCAGTGATCAAGCTCAGCAACACTGATGGACTAGATAAATACGACATTGATAATCGCTCAGTGGTCAGTCACTCTGGTACCAACTGACGAATAGATTTTTATTACTTGATCAGTGATTATAAACGGAATAAAAAAGATATATTTATTATGTAAATCCAATTCCATAGTCCTTTATACTTTTCTTCATTACTAAGAAAGTAAATGAAGAATCAGCTCAACTCAAACAAGAAGCAGAATTACAAAATAATCGTTTAGAAGAACGTGAATTACAAATATCTCAAATGAATGAAAGGACACGTGTTATGGAGATGGATTGTAGACGGTTACATGAAAGAGTTGATGATTATGATATGAAATTACGTAAAGAAAGAGATGAATGTTCTCTCTTACGTAACCAACTACAAAATATGGAAGAAGAAAAAGTTAAATTACAAGTGAGTTAAAGTTTACCGTCAGTTCATTCTTCATGAAATTTTAGTGATTTGTCAAGTTATATTTTGAGTCTCAACTTTAAAAAATTAGTGAATATTAGATTGATTGCTCAGCAAGTTCTAAATCCGTTCATGGTGATGGCCCGGTTAGTGATTGGCTGACTTTAAAAGCTTTGACATTTTATACTGTCTTTACATTTCCACTGAATAAACATCTACGCTATATGATTAACTGACTTGACCATCATCGATAGACAGGTTGGATATGTGTTAACAGATCTACTGATTCCTGACTGACTTAAATACCGGTATTTTAGAACTTTCCATGGCACAATCAGACTTCAGATAACAGCAAAACTCACTAAGGAAATATGAATTTAAAAATATCATTGAATTTATCTTTTAAAAATGAACTAACATAAAATAACAGAAGGATTAGATTACCTGAGTTCTCCTTAGCACCCCACACAAATAAAAGATAAATTTGTTGAATATAATTAGTATTTTGGAATTCTTGAATGATCTACCTAACTATGATACTCAAAAACATATACTAGGATCCTTTGGGGATTATTAGATAATAAACGGAATACACCTATTATGACATTAAATAAGAAAGAAAGATTAGTTCAGCGAAGGGTTCTCTTTTCGGCGAATTCATTTTCAAAGCTGTACAATCGCAAATATATATACTTATTTTTACAGAGTGATAATAATACTGATAATAAACTTCTGTTATACATGGTGACAGTGAGGTTAAATAAACAAAGGTATTAGAAAAAAAATTTTAAAACAAGGAAAGTTTGATAGTTAATGGCTTAAGTATTCATTGGGTAAGGATGGCTCAGCATGATAAAATAACATAAAATGTTGAAACAGAGATGAAATGTAATCGGAATGATCGTGGGAATAAAAACAAACCGGTTGGGGGTAGAAGATTTGAAGGGAAGATGGAAGGTGAAGCAGGTGGCTGTAAAAGAACAAGAGTATGAACAAAGAGGAAAAATTTTTTATTTAATACATTAAGACCATGGTAAAAGAAGAGGTTGTACCAGTCTCTTTTGTACACATAATTCTGGCTTTTCAAAATGTATGGCTATTGCTTCGGCAATGCAAAGAAGATGTAGTCTAATTGTCTTATGAAGGCTTCTACTTACCTTGTAGATGACTTTGAACGCAGAGTCTGTCTTGATTGAGTGACCTGTGTTCACAAGGTGTCCGATTATAGAACTTCTTATTGAGCCTCTGCCTCCTCTTCTTAGCCACGCCGGACAACGTTCTTGAATTCTTCTGGATAAAGTACGCATCGAACGACCTATATACATAGCTCCACAAGAGCAGGTAAATTAGTAGATGCACATTGGGTTGGTCAGATGCGATAATTTATCTTTCAGATTATTGGTGAACAGTGATCGGCTGGAGAATAATATTCGCAATGTTGCTGCAAAGAATGTTCTTTTCACAGAATCCGAAATTCCCCTCTTTAAGATATATGCGGCTCTATCACCTTTGAAGTCGATGATCATGTATAAGATTTTCTTTTCTACTGTAATTGTTTGTGGTTTTGGCATTTTCGGCTTCATGTTCTTATCAATGAATATAGAAGGATATCCGTTTTTGATAAGTATCTCTTTTAAAAGGCTCAATTCTTCCTCTACAACCTCGGGGCTACAGATCCTTCGTATTCTTGTGGCGATTGTACAGCTTTGAAAATGAATTCGCCGAAAAGAGAACTCTTCGCTGAACTAATTATTAGATAACTCAAAATAAATAGATTTACGAGTGTCTACCAACAAGAAACATAGGTTTGAGCTATGTTGATGTCAAAACGTGAATTTCATATCCATAGTATTATAATTTGATCGGTGAGTGACATACCTGCTTAAATGTCTTAATTCAGTGTTAATACGAGCAGAGATAATAATTCCTTGTTCGGTTATAATATGACACCAATGTGATAATGAGAATATGATGGTTGTTATAATCATGATGGAATGATCCGCCAAACAGATCAATGAGATGAGTCAACACGAGGACAAAGTACCGGAAAAGTTATATGATTTGAGTATCCTCATGTCCCTTCTGTACTGGCTTTTCTGAATGCGTCGGATTAGAGATTGAGACGGTCTATCAGGAAGCTAGAATAACCCATGTGAGTTTGACTATTATGGTGAATCGTTAATTATTCAAATCGTTTATTCCTTCATTCATTTAGGTTATATTGTTCCGAATTTTCAAACACAGCGTGACTTAAGCTAGACGATCACTCGAAACAGTGTCCACAAACCTTCTCACTTTGTACGTATTATCAGGTTACTTTCTAGTTGCAACGTTGGTCATAGTCATTTATTTTTGCATTGTGAGCATTTGACTACTGTAATATTATTTAAGTAGTTTCAACTGGAGATGATTTTTATGGAAGCTACTACTATTCCTTCATTATGTTTTCTTAATTATAGTGTAATTACACTTATTTTCTCGTGAACATGTAAAACATAAGTTTGGTAAAAAATTTTTTGTTTTGTACATAGTGCGACTTTGATAATTTAACATGTGAACGTGATGATTTGGTGAAACATCAACGTCAAATTGAAAAAAGAGCACAAATAAATTTATCAGAACGTGATCGTTTGTCTAGACAAGTGAATGATTTGAATGATTTAAAAGAAAGTCTTGAAAAACAACTTAGACAATTAGAGAAAGATTATTCTGATCAGACAACTAAATATCAAGTAATTACTACGGTTTTTTATTCTTACGGTTTATGAGTTTACATAGTTTATTCCAATATAGCCGAACAGAACTACTGTCCCTGGGGTCTTTTAACGGATCTACTCTTCATCAGTATTATCATTGAATTTATTGAGATGGATTTTCTAAAGTTGTTGCCATAAATATATTACCCTGAACCTGAAAGAACGATCATAGATGATGTATATAAAACCGAATATCGATGCTGTGTCAGGACATATGTGACCAGTGTTTGAATGTCTATCTGTCTCATAGTGTAAA